GAGCTTCTTGCTCCTACTTAAGGAGTAGTTATATTTATACAGTCTTAAAATTATATTCGGCCCTTTGAAGGCAACCGCAAGGCTGATGTGGCCCCCTGGTGAAAATGAGTTCAATACCCCTGTTCTAGTCCCTTATCCTTCTTTATTATTCTTCATAACACTATCATCCTCTGACACAAATCTATTCATTTGTTCATTTTCTGCTTCCCCAACTAGAATGTAAACCTACAAGAGCAGGAATTTTGCTTTGTCCACTACCTAATCACCATGATCTAAAGTGCATGACCAATGTGGCACATTGTTAATACTCATTAAGTATTAGTTGAATAAATGAATAAAGTTCACCATCATGTCTCCTTTCTATTCCTTCCTCAGTTCATCTCAGTAAAAATAGAAAGAAAAGTTGGCAAAAGAAGAATCTTAGCAAAGAGTAGACCTCAGCCACAGACTTATCTGGGGCTTTGAGCAGGATGGCATGTTCCACTGAACAAGTTCTCTGGGACTTTTGAGAGTAACTCTTTTAGACGGTTCCACCACTATCTTACAAAACCCTCAAGGTCTTTGACCCTCTTTCTTTTTGTGGTACTCACATAGCCAAACCTTAATTCTGGAGCTCTGGGTCAATCCAAATGTTTATTTTTTCTGTATTCAGGCAGGTTGCAAAGTGTTGGGAACCTCCTTGCCTGGTATCAGAAGCTGTAACCCCCACTAAGGCTAAGGCTGACAGAATGACCTTGGACGGAATGACCTATCTCCCTGGCAGGAGCACCGCTTCTGCTCCTTTTACTTCACTCTGCCTGGTCCCCAATGCTTGGTCAGTTAGCCAATGATGGGTAAGATTCCCCACGGGGGGAATGACCTAAGACAGGCACAGTCATGTGGGAGGCCCCCAAGGAAGGACTTTGGGGGCTACAGCAAAAAGGGGTGAAGGACCCCTGCCCCTCAGCTTTGATAAAACCTGAGTCCTCATTGTCTGCAAGAAAATCTCCTAATCTCTTGGCTGCCTTATTTCACTTGCTCCACCTAAGCCTGAAACAATGACAGAGGGTGGTGCAGCCCTGTGCTGGAAAGGGCAGGTTCCCCAGGTGACCAGGCCTAAGAAAGAATATGTAAAATCCTGTGAAACCGGCTTTGTTTAAAATGCTCTCAATTAACTGATGAGAGTCCAAGGAAGAAGTAAGTTTGTTCCTCAAAGTTTTATAGCTCTTTAGCTATCTGACCCTGACTCAAAATAGGCCCTCAGAGTTCTTTGTTAATTATTGTTGATCCTTACTTCCTGGCAATGATTAATGAGCTTTACCTGAATTCCTGTGTAAAGGAACCCAATAAAAGCCTGCTCGGGTGGGAGAACGAGGCTCTCTCCCCTAGGGAGGGTGGCCCAGGCACTATCCACTAGAGAGAGTAGCCGTTCCATCCCTATTTCCCCACAGGATCTGGTTGTCTCTGTGTATGTTTTTCTCGTGTTTCAACAAGCCATCCGCAGCGTTCCATGGTCACTGCAGGCCAGTGGTTGTGTCAGCAAAGCACTGTTGAAGAAAAATCATTCAGTTGGGTAGATTAATGCCACTATAAATTTATGGTCATGTAATTTCAATCAATGAAGACAAAACAAATAAGAAAAAAATAGTTGATGTTTATCCCTGAAAATGGTATAGATACTTTATATGCATTAACTCATTCAATGCTTATAAACCACCAAAAAGCAGATATTTATTCCATTCCACCAATGAAGAAATTAAAGCACAGGTAACTAAACAAAAGACACACAGCTAGTAAGAAACAGTCTGAATGTTTAACTCAGGTATTCTGATTCCAAAGCTTGAGCTTTTAACCCCTACTGTCCAGGCAATTTAATTATTTTTTTCCAGTCAATTGTATCTCTACCGCCAACTATAACCTACAGGGCTATTTTGTTTGTCTAATTCCCAGGGGTACCATTCATGTTTACATTATAAGCAATACTTACAAGGTAAATTTATAGCCTTAAACCTATATTTTAAAAGAAGGAAGACTGAGAAGTCAGGAACTAAGCAACCAAAAACTTAAGAAACTGAAAAAAGAGAAACAAATTCAATAATAGCTAAAGTAAGGAAATAATATATATTATAGCAGAAAGTAATGAAGAAGGAAACAAAGATGTAATTGAAAAATCAACAAAGCTAAAGTCAGTTCTTTAAAATCAAAATGTAGATGGATATTTGATATTACTATTTTTGTTTTATTGATTTTAAAGTGCTAATAGTTACCAGGTACCTGCAGTGTTGTCCAACCTGCAGCCTAAGGGTTGCATGCAGCTCAGGATGACTATGAATGAGCCCAAACCAAAATCATAAATTTACTTAAAACATTATTGGAAGCTCCCTGCCTGGTTTCAGAAGTTGTAATCCCTCATGGCTAAGGCTGAATAAAAAGACCTTGAGACCATAAGCTATTAAGGAGACAAAGCTTATCTTCCTTGTAGAAGGAAGATAACCTCTGCCCCCTTTCACTTCACCCTGCTTGGCTCAGGGTGGATGACTGGTTAGCCAATGACGGGTAAGATTACTCAAAGGAGGTACGACCTAAGACAGGTATGGTCATGAAGGGGCCCTCAGGGAAGGACTTGGAGGGGCTATAGAAAAAGGGGGTGATGGACCCTCATCCTTCGGCTTTGACATAGCCTGAGTCCTCATTCTGTCTGCCAGAAGTCTCCTAATCTCTTGGCTGCCTTACTTCCTTTGATTGACTTAAGCCTAAAACAATGCCTTAAGCCTGAAACAATGCTGGAGGTAGGTGCGAAGGTAGGTGTTCTGGAAAGGGCAGGTTCCCTGGAGCAATCAGGCCTAAGAAAGAATGCATAAAATCCTATGAAACCTACTTTACTAATACCCTCAATTTAAATGATAAGGATCCAAGCATGAAGTGAGTTTGTTCCCCAAAGTTTTATGGCTCTTTAACTATCTGACCACAGTTAGCTATCTGACTCAGAATAAGCCCTCAGAGTTCTTTGGATGTTATCTATTATTTAATCATTTCTGCCTGACAATGATTGATGAGATTTATGTATATACCCTGTATTCCTATGCAAATTAAACTCAACAAAAGCTCATTGAGGAATAGGTTCCTGGTCCTTCTCCTTTGAGAGATTGGCCAACTTTCCCCCCCAAGCAGACTTATTCTCATGGTGGTGGTGGGGGGACACTGTGGGCCCCCCACATCTCATTATGAGATTTTTTTGTGTGTGATTACATGTCACAATATATTTAATGTGTGGTCCAAGACAACTCTTCTTCTAGACTGGCCCAGAGACACCAGAAGGTTGGACACTCCTAGAAGTGTTTTACATACATTAACAGATTTAATCCTACAGCAATTAAATAATGTGACATAATTAGACATAGCTTAGTTTAAAAAATATGAGTTATAAGAAAAGTTAAACAGCTTGCTCAAGATCTCAGAGTGGCAGAGCCAGGTTTTGGACTTAGGCATTTGGCTCAAAATTCAATGCATTAATTCCTACATTATACTGCTTCTGCAATCAGCCTTATACTGGAAATCTTAGCCAGCCAAGTAAAACAAAAGAAAATGAAATATAAGATATAAGTTTGGAAAGAAAAAGACAAAACTATCATATGTGTAGTTGATATATTCATTTACACAGAAAAATAAAAAAAAACCTACAACTTTTTTAAATTAGTAAGGGTGTTAAATTAAGCAAAGTTGTTGTCTATAAAATCAACATATAGAAGTTACCTTGGCTGGTGTAGCTCAGTGGACTGAGCATTGGCCTGAGAACCAAAAGGTCTCCAGTTTGATTCCCAGTCAGGGCACATGCCTGGGTTGCAGGCCAGGTCTCCAGTGGGGACCACATGAGAGACAATCACACATTCATATTTCTCTCTCTTGCTTTCTCCTTCCCTCCCCTCTCTCTAAAAGTAAATAAATTTAAAAAATTTAAATCTTTTAAATAAGTATATAAACACATGTCAAAAACATTTATCTTATTAACTAACTAATGAGGGAGCTGGAAAATGTTATAGGAATATTGTACAAATTTGCTAAAAATCAGACATGTTCAAATGAATTTGCTAAAAGAGGCAAAAATGATTTAATATACCATAGGCCAATAATGTAGTGTTTTGGGGGCATCTTTTCTACAGAGTGGACAACAATTATTTTAAATATCAATTTTCTTGTAAAATAACTTAGTCAACGAAAAGTCAGAGGTCCCTATGGATTCAAATCCTTCTAGCTTCTGCTAGACAATGCCCAGACTTACACTGAAGGGGCACCCAGCAATCTCTTTCACTCACTTCCAAGTCTTTGATAAATTTTCCTGATAATGGGTCCATTTTTAGCATTTTTAATAATGCAACCAAAAAGATGAAATAGAAACTTAATGTATTGCTGGTAGTAAGTATAAAATTTTGTTAATATTGTCAATAATGGTTTACAGCTATGTACGATGCCAGGTGGGTTACTGAATATCACCCAGGGGCCACTTTGTTAAAGTACATGATTGTCTAACCACTACACTATACACCTGAAATACAAAATAATATTGAATATAAGTAATTGAAAAATAAAATTTAAAAAAGTTTTGTGACGCTTTTTGTTTCAGGTATACTCATTTACATACACACATACGTGGTATTATTGGGTTTGATGTAGAATGTTTTTGTTCACTCTGGGCTGGGGTCAACAAGTCTGAAAGCCACTAATGTGACATATGAGGTTCTACAGTGAAAAGAACTGAACATTTCGAGCTTTCCCTTCCCTCAAGTAGACATACATTCACAGTGCCAGGATCTAGTAAAGAATGGAGAGAAACTATAAATATCATATCATTACATTGTACACCTGAAACTAATTGTGTTACACGTCCATTTTATTTCAATAAAAAAAATTAAGTTAAAAAATTAGCGCCTTGCCGGATGTTCTCCTCTGTCTTTCCTTGGCACTGAGGTTCGTAGGCTCCCTTGGATGCCACAAAAATGGAGAGAGCGTCCGTGGAATGGAAAGGACGAGCCCGGCAGACCCACAGGAAGGACGTCTTGCTTGCAGCTGAACGGTTCTCAGAGGGAATCAAGCACTAGCCTGGAGTGGCGGCCGCGCAAGCGGCGGGGACGTCGCTACCAGCGAGCGGAAGAGCACCGCGCCTGCGCAGACCCGTGCAGGGCGGGCGAAGCGCGACAGGCACCCTCCACCAGGCCTCGCCTCGCCTGGCCTCCACCCTTGGATCGACCGCGCACTGCCCGGTCACCCCCACCTCGTCGTCCAAGCCAGGTTTCCCCCGCCCCTTCTGTGCCGGTGCCGGTCGCGAGTGTGCACGCAGAGCCTGAGCGGGCGGGAAGGGGAAGCGGCGGGTAAGGAGGGCCTGAGTTCAGGGTGCGTTTTTGAAGGGGTTGGGAATTTCCTCTAGGGCTCTCTCCGGCTCTCGGAACCTCTGAGGAAGAGGAAAAGGAGCCTCTGGAACCGTTCCCTCCCGCCGCTCGGGCATACCTCTGCTAGTCGATGTGTTTTTGTCACGAAAACCGGAACTTCGTCCGGTTCGCTCCGCTCCCCGCCTCCACCGGGCAGTCCGAAGGCCCAGCCCCGGCCAGTCTGCTATCCCAGTCCCGTCTGAGAGGCCTTCCCAGCCCCAGACAGTGTCCGGACGTTTATCCGCCTGCAGTGTCTCCGCAGCTGAAGGGAACTCCCCAGGTCTAGCGCTCAAATCAAGCACAAAGAGCCTCGTGGCTTTCTTTGTTTTGACGCTTGCCGGTCTTGGGATTCTTTCTGACACTCCGCTGAAGGAACTTTCGTGGTCTACAAGGCCACCAAACGTAGGTCTTTTTTTTTTTACTTCTTCTGGGCTGCTCTAATCTGTCTTTCAAGTTTGAGTCTCTTGATGCTGGTCTCTTACATCCCTGTGCAATGTCTCGGAGTTCTGATCTTTCCTGTGGAAATCCAGTCACACCACTTGTGCCTTTTGGGGTGAAGTATGCTACTATGGCAGTGGAATAGTATCAGTAGTTTTTTTTTTTTTAAGATTTTATTTATTTATTTTTAGAGAAAGGGGAAGGGAAGGAGCAAGAGGAGAGAAACATCAGTGTGTGGTTGCCTGTTGCGCACCCCCAACCAGGGACCCAGACTGCAACCCAGGCATGTGCCCTGACTGGCAATCCAGTGGGTGACACTTTGGCTCCCAGGCCAGCAACTCAATCCACAGAGCCACACCAGCCAGGAGTATCGGTACTAAGAAGTGGTAATAAATTACAATTTCTGCCGTCGCTGCTACCCCAGTGAACAGATACTCAGTGAACTCTTTAGTAGAAGGAGGTAGCATTTTAGCCCAGTGACTGTGCCTGATGCCCTGAAGATAGCTTGTAATTAGACCACCGAAGTACAAAATCTGCTGACAGGAAGAAATCTGGAACAGAATAAAGGCTGATAGTCTGGTCATGTTTAATAATATCTGCAGGTCAAATTACTATATAGAGATTTAAGTGCCAGTTAAGTCTACTGTATTGACATTCTGTAGATACTGATGTGAACTTTTAGCAGCCACCTTGTAACTTCTCAAATTTCTCAAATTAATTCCTAGGTAGTCATGATAATCAGCTTAGTTATTTTTACTTTGGTAAGTGTGGATGCAATAAACTTACCCACATTTTTCTAACATCAGCCCACACGATTCCTGTCAGCCTTATTACCAATTCTCCTTGACGCTTACATTACAAAACCTTAGTCATCTTAAATTTCCCCTGTGCTTAATCTCCTCACCTCATATTCCTTGAATAAAGAATCACGTGGTTTCTTTATTCGAAAAGTAACTTGCATTATGTCTTTGATTCTCATTCCACTAACACTGTAACTTGCATTATGTCTTTGATTCTCATTCCACTAACACTGTCCTTGGGAAGCTGAGCTTATTTCCTTCTCTCTCATTTTGAATAACAATATCCTTTCTTCCAACCAATTAATTATTGTGAGAATTCCAACTGGCATAATGTGTGGAAAAGCTATCAGAGTTAAACAGAAACAACCCAAGCTATTATTTTTCATTGTACTCATTCATTTTACAAACATTTGAAAACCTAATATATGTTAGATTCTTGTGCTATATCTATGAAAGATAGTCCCTGCATTTAAGGGGCTGTCTTTCAAGGAACTATCAAAGAAAGAGTAAGGAGTAGAGTGATAGAGTGTCTGACAAGATAGAGTGTGGTATAGGCTGTAGAATGGGTAAGCTTAGAGTGGACACCTAACCCAGAGGAGAAAGGAACAGGGATGAGTTCTTGAAGGAAATTATGTTTGAACAGTCTTGAATTATAACAAAGATCCAGAAGGAAATAGTGAGGAAGGATGCCATGAAAGAATCACGTTAGAGAACTGCAAATTGTTAGGCGTTGGAGTATTAAGTTCAAAGAGGAGTATAGGAGATAGGACTGGATAGGTAGACAGAGGTGAGATTTGAAGGTGTTTGTGTACTAAGGGAAGTGTACAAATTGAAGGATGCTAAGCAGACAGTTGCCCTGATTATAGTTGCATTTTGAAAGTTCATTCTGGCTGCAATGTGTGCTTGCTTTCCTATTGCAGTGTACAAATACTTCTTTCTGTCTTTGTATCTTTCCGTATTTTCTTTACTGTACCCAGAAAGGCTAATGCCCTCCTTATAGTTTTTATCTTTCAGTATCCAGTTCAGGTCTTTTGTAAAGTATCCTCTAATTATTTTAGACTCCATTACTTATTCCATTCTCTGAAACCCTAGGAATGGTACCACACAGCTGAGTCGTTATTTGTTTCATGTGTGTTTTATGTCCCTAAGTAGATTTAGTAAGACCCTTGAGGATGGGGAGTGTTTTGTATGTATATGAGTAGAAGACATGTTAAACAAAAAAATATGTTGTTTGGTCTCTTTCTGTTTGTTTTTCAGGGCAGGACCAGATTATGGGCAGCAGTCCTTTAAATTAATTAATCATCATGATGGCTAATGAGGGCTGTCCCAAGGCTGGTGATAGTTCTTTTTCCTCAGATAAACATGCCCAACTCATCTTGGCCCAGATCAATAAAATGAGAAATGGACAGCATTTCTGTGATGTGCAGCTACAAGTTGGGAAGGAAACTTTCAAAGTTCATCGGCTGATTCTGGCTGCCAGTAGTCCTTACTTTGCAGCTTTGTTCACTGGAGGAATGAAAGAGTCTTCAAAAGATGTTGTACAGATTTTAGGAATTGAAGCTGGAATATTTCAAATACTTCTAGATTTCATTTACACAGGTATGTTACGTGAACCTTTAGCTTTAAGTGGAGAATGATGAAATCACTCATGTACTGCTATGGAAACATAAATTGATCTAATGTATATGGAACATAATTTGACAATATGTTATTATGAATCTTTGAAAGTTCATATCCTTTGACACTGTATTCCTTTTCTAGGAATCCTAAGGAGCTAATTAGTGATACAGGCAAGCATTTAAGTACCAGGATATTTATAGTAACATTATTTATAATAGTATGTAATTGAATACAAGCTAATTGTCCCTCAATAGATTATATAGTTAAAAAAATCATGATACATATATATATATAAAATGGAATATTTTTTAGATCTCACAAATGATTTAAATGTGTACTATCATGGAAGAATGTTTGCAATATATTAAATGAAGAAAATATGGATATAAATACCACCTCAGTTTTGTCTTAAAAAAAGCATTTGTGTGTGGGCATGACTGGTATGGCTTAGTTGGTTGGGCGTTGTCCCACAAACGGAAAGATTGATGGTTTGATTCCCCATCAAAGCACATGCCTAGGTTGTGGGCCAGGCCCCCAATTAGGGGTATGGGAGGCAACTGATGATGTTTCTTTCTCCCTTCCTTCCCCTCTCTCTAAAAATAAATGATTTTGATGTTTTTCTCCTTTTCTTTCACATCAGTTGGTTGCCTTCTGCATGCTTCCAACATGGGGCCTGGCCTGCAACCCAAGTATGTGCCCTCATGGGGAATTGAACTGGCAACCCCTCAGTTTGCAGGATGACACCCAACCTACTAAGCCATACCAGTCAGGGTCATTTGTGTGTGTTTGTGCACAGGAAAAAAGACCAGGGTTGATATTTACCTCCTAGGTGATGGAATATGAAAGATTCTTATTTCTCCTTTTTTTGTTTTTTTCTCTCAAAATGTTTATAATCAAGATGTATTATTTTAATCAAAACTTTTATCTTTAAAATATTTTTATATGTTTTTGTTAATGATATAGAAAATTCACACAAACTATGTATAAAATATGCCTCATATGATATGTAACATAGATAAATATACATGGAAAAAAGATTTGAAAGAAATAGAATAGGGAGAAAAGTTCTTTCTTTCCACCTGGCCGCAGCCATAAGGTAAGCCAGGGGTGTCAAACTCATTTTCACCGGGGGACACATCAGCCTCCCAATTGCCTTCAAAGGGTGGAATGTAATTTCAACTCCTTAACAGTTAAGGAACAGTTACATTTATACAGTCCTAAAATTATTTCGGCTTCCAGTGCTTCCTTCTCAGGGTGCACTGCTGACAGTACTGCCAGCTCTCTGAACTCCACAGGGCCCCCCACCCGACCAGGCCCAATAAAGCGTATAAGCTGGGATACAAGGCCAAACGAGGTTATGTCATATATCAGATTTGTGTGTGCCATGGTGGCCACAAATGCCCTATTCCTAAGGGTATGACCTATGGGAAGCCTGTCCATGATGGTGTTAACCAACTGAAGTTTGCCCAAAGTCTTTAATCTGTTGCTGAGGAGCGAGCTGGGTGCCACTGTGGGGCTCTGAGAGTCCTGAATTCTTACTGGGTTGGTGAAGATTCCATGTACAAATTCTTTGAGGTTATCCTCATTGATCCATTCCACAAGGCTATCAGAAGGAATTCTGACACCCAATGGATCACCAAACCAGCCCTCAAGCACAGGGAGATGCGAGGGCCATGGCCTTGGAAAAGGCCACAAGTTCCACCACACTATTGATGGTTCTTGCCCTGCGGCTTGGAGAAGGCACAATACTCTCCAGTTCCACTGTTCCTGCTAATATGTGTCATGTTTGTAAAATTCTTACCTAATAAACAATTTAGGACCATAAAAAAAAAAGAAATATAGTAAAGTGTTAATAGTATATGTTTATTATAAAATGTATGATTTTAATATTAATTTTTATTTTTTTTGCCTTGAAGTTTTTTCTGTAGTGAATATGTATTACAATCAGGAAAAAAAAGTTTGAAAACAAAGATGTTTGGTCTAGTTTTGAGAATATACTATGCTCTCCTTTAAGGAGATAATTATGTGGCCTGAAAAAGTGTTTCTTTTTTTTGTTTTTAAAGATTTTATTTATTTTTCGAAAGGAGGGAAGGGAGGGAAAAAGAGAGGAAGAGAAACATTGATGTTTATGAGAGATACTTCAGCCTGTTGCCCCTCGCCTGACCCCAGCTGGAGACCTGGCCCTCAACCCAGGCACGTTCCCTGACAAGGAATTAAGCTGGTGACCTTTGGGTTCACAGGCTGGCACTCAATCCACTGAGCCACACCAGTCAGGGCTCATGAGAGGTTCTTGATCTCACTTTTCTATATGACTTGTGTGAGCTGAAAACTGCTTCATAAATACCCCTGCTTCTCATATTTGCAAAGTAGAAATTAACACATTAATCCAAAGGAATTAGTGTTAAACTACGTAAAAACAGAATACCACAAGCTGTCATCTATCCTGCCTCTGTTGTCTGATAGTAACAAGAAGAGATATATAGTGAAAGAATATTCATGGCATCATTGTCATATTGCTAGTGATTAGCACTTGAACCAAAGAAGTAAAAAATGGTAAAACCCAGAGAAGTGAAAGCTACTGAGCATATGTACAGGGAAATAACATTGTACAATATTGACATTTAAGGCTAAAATTGGTATAACAGTTAAGAACAGTGTTTGTTAGTAAAAGATAAAAGTGACTTAATAAGATAGAAACTTACTTTTTCCACAAAAATTAATTCATAGTAATTCCAAGGCTGATATTGGAATTTGGTGGCTTCATGATGTCATTGGTGTCCCATTATTCTTCTGACATTTTACTCCACCACCTATAGCTTACAGCCTCTAATGTCATGCTCACTGAACTCCAGCCAATGGAAGGAGGGAAAAGCAAAAGAGTCTGCCAGCTGAATCTATCCTTTTTTAAAGTTTTTCTGGTAACCCTGCCCAGTAATTGCTACCTATATCTTGTTGGCCAAACTCATTCAAAAAATTAACTTCTGTCTGCAAGTGGAGGCTAAGAAATGTAATTTTCAGCTGTGCACAATTGCCACCCAAAATCTAGGTTCTGTTAGTAAATATGAAAAGAAAATGAATTTGGGGTATTTATTGGTCAGGAAACTTTGTAGTCTTTGATACAATTAGTTTTAAAAAAGAAACATGTTCTTTGATTTCACTGTAATAACGTTTCCTTTTGGGGAGATGTGGAGGCAGCAAAATCTGTTATTTTGTTGATTCTCCTTTGGACTTGTCTTTGCTTTTTTTTTTCTTTATTTGGAGCGGGAAGGGAGGGAGAAAGAGAGGAAGAGAAACATCATTGTGTGGTTGCCTCTCATGTGCCCCCTACTCTGTGGATCTAGCAAGGCAACCTAGGCATGTGCCCTGGCTGGGAATCAAACCAATGACCCTTTGGTTCACAGGCCAGCGCTCAATCCATTGAGCCACACCAGCCAGGGCTCTATGCATTCTTTATTAACCATTCACAATTCTAATAGGTGTTAACAGATATTTCTTACCTTAGATTTTTATGCACTTCATTTAGAATCAAATGACCTTTGTTTATGATCTAGCTCTGCCACTAATTAGCTGTGTGGTACAAGGCATTTCATTTAGCTTTAGTCACTTATTCATTGATTCTTTCAACAGATATTTATGAATACTTTTTGAGGTAGGTACTAGGGATATGAAGTAAATAAGACAGTCGTGGCTTCTGCCTTTACAGAGTTTTCTAGGTAATGCAGATAATGTATTTACAAAATAGAAATGAGTTTGTGAGAGCCTCATTTTCCTTATTGTAAAGTGGGGAATTGTAAAGTAGCACTTTATAATTCCTGTGAAGGTTAAATGAGATAAATTTTAATACTTGGAAATGTAAAAGTGCACTTTGTAATCTATAAAACCTTATTAAATTGGAGGGCATTTTTTTTATTACTCTGAAGTAACAGCTTTATCCAGTAGCAGTCATTCACCCCCCTTAGTTCACAATCCACGATCTTATCTTCTCGAAGTTTGTGGTGAGTTCTCATTTTATTCAAGTAAGTCTTATCTTAGTTTTCCTTGAAGCTACTACTTTTACTCCTGTGGTGGATTTCACTTCTTATACTTTTGGAAAACCCCCTGTTTACATTCAATAAGCCATATCCTTCCTCTCGCCATAATTTTTTTGGCCACTCATTTATTCAAAACAAGTTTCTTGAGCACCTAGTATGGGCTAGTCATTGGAAATACAAAAGGGGCAAGCCTCACCCCAACAGACTTTATAATTCTAATTGGGAGTAAAGATTTTAGGGAAATAGTTTAGTGAAATAAATGAGAATTAAAGGGATAAAGGGAAAGTACAAAATTGAATAGACAGTTTATCCTTATAAGGAAGGAGAATTACAGTGGCTTTTTTTTTCCCTTCTAAGTATAATTGACTGATGTTGTTCCAAAGTCATTATGTAAATATATGAAAGTGAAGCCATCTGGAAAGTGGTATATATAGTTACTTAAATGTGAAGTATTAATAATTTCTCATATGTTATAGACTCTTGGTTATAACTAATATTAAAATTAACATTTGTATGGCACTTTATCATAATCGAAGATAGAGCCTCTGTCTTACCTTCTCCAGTGCCTAAGTAAATGTTTAGTAGATTCATATAGCCCAATGTTAAAAGCACAGACTTTGGTGTCAATCCCTACCCTCAACTCACTTAACCATGTGACTTGGAGACAAGTTACTTAAACTTTCTGATTCTGTTTTCTTAATACAAAAATAAGAAAGAAAAAAACCCCTATTATATAGGGTTGTATTCAGGGTTAAATTAATGTAGAAAGCAATTAATGCAGTGTCTGGTTCATTGTAAGCATTCCATAAATGTTAGGTTATCATTATTATTTAAGTTTTGTGCCCTTTCTATAAATCCTTTGTTGATTTTTACTTAGCAATCAGTGGAATAAAATATAATTTTTTAAAAATATAAGCCTAATGTTTGTGTTTATTTTACTGTACTGGTTATTTTGTCTTCTTGTTTCCCTAGGCATAGTGAACATAAGTGTGAATAATGTTCAGGAGTTGATTGTTGCAGCAGACATGCTACAATTGACTGAAGTTGTTAATCTTTGCTGTGAATTTCTGAAAGGACAAATTGATCCACTGAACTGCATTGGGATCTTTCAGTTCTCTGAGCAAATTGCCTGCCACGATCTTTTGGAATTCACAGAAAACTACATTCATGTCCATTTCTTGGAGGTTCAGAGTGGGGAAGAGTTCCTGGCACTTACAAAAGATCAGCTGATCAAAATTTTGAGAAGTGAAGAGCTTAGCATTGAGGATGAATACCAAGTCTTCTTAGCTGCAATGCAGTGGATTCTCAAAGATCTAGGAAAGAGAAAAAAATATGTGGTGGAAGTGCTAGACCCAATTCGATTCCCTTTATTACCTCCTCAGAGGCTTTTAAAGTATATAGAAGGTAATTATTTTTGTTGCATATCAGATTAGTCAATTAATTGTCTGGTTGCTTTTTCTGTGTGAAATGTAATGGTGTTTTTATTTTTCAGTTCAATAGTAGACATTTATTGAATGATTACTGTATGCCAAGATATATACTTTTGGTTTTGTGGGTAGACAGTAGTGTTTCCATATTTCTACCTTTTATTTTATTTTATATATTTTTTAAAGATTTTATTTATTTATTTTTAGAGAGGAAAGGGAGGGAGAAAGAGAGATAGAGAGATAGAGAGAAACATCAATGTGCGGTTGCTGGGGGTTCTGGCCTGCAACCCAGGAATGTACCCTGGCTGGAAATCGAACCTGGGACACTTTGGTTCCCAGCCCGCGCTCAGTCCACTGAGTTACGCCAGCCAGGGCTAACCTTTTATTTCAATAAAATTCTTAATGTACCTATCTTGAGATTCAGTACTAATGGAGATGAGAGTTACAGATAAAATTACTGACTGAGCTGAGACATTGCTGTTTTTGACGGTACCAATTATTTCAATGTAAGATTTCCTGGTCACTTTTTAAAAAAATTGATTCCAGAGAGAGAAGAAGAGAGAGAGAGAGAAACATCCATGTGCAGAAACATTGATAGGTTACCTCCTGTACGCACCCGATCCAGGAACCAAACCTGCAGCCTAGGTGCGTGCCCTGACTGGGAATCGAACCCACAATCTTTCAGTGCATGGGATGATGTTCCAACCCACTGAGCCACACCAGTGAGGCATCTTGTCACTTTTAAAAAGTCAGCAAAGCCCTGGCCCATGTGGCTCAGTGGGTTGGACGTCAGGGCACATGCCTAGGTTGCTGGTTTGGTTCCTGGTATAAAAGGCAAGCAATCAATGTTTCTCTCCCACATCGATGTTTCTCTCCCTCCCTTCCCTTCTCAAATAAAAAAAATGAATTAATTAATATAAATATATTAAAGCCAATTATTTAAAAAAATAGAAAATAAAGAGTCAGCAAATTCTAACATTTGAGGGAAATGTATATGCTAAAACCAAAACCTAAACATAACAAATCCTACAAGTCCTCATTATAAAATAAATTTTATATTGATATGATATTGTAGCTCCGAAGTAGCCTTCGAATTATCTTTAGGTTCTAAACTTTGAAAATACTTTTCACCATGGTATAAAATAGTTTTTATCTTTATATTAGAAAAAATAATATTTAAATTTTATTTTTAAAGACTATTTTAGGCCTGGTTTCAAGATTTGAAGTTTTTACTCTTGTCCTGCACTTGAAAATTTAGGATATGACTGAATTATAAATGATCTTATGAATTAAGTATACTATTAGAATTAAAAGTGTAATTCTGTGAAGTATATTTAATATAGATTTTCTTTTTTTCTCCACTGTAACTTAACAGTGTTAACAGAATTTTGTAGGTTTTCTGAGTGATATTGTTTTAATTCAAATATATAATCAATTCTTATTATTCATGGTAGTTCTATAAAGTTACCATAAACATTGAATTGGCAAATACTAAGCCATTGATCCTAGGGAGATATGGAGTAAATTCTTAAAGCCTCTGGTCATGACATTTTTGTCAATTGATCAATACATAATCTTGTTTTATGTATATTTGTTAAAACACCTTATTTATTATTACATATTGCTGGTGCATTAACATTGAACTCATAGTCAAAAGCACTATAACTCCTACCTTCATGCAGCGTACCTAACATGTGCATTTTCTATGTAAGGCCATCACAACCTTCTTGCACTTAGGAAAACTTGGGCAGCACTTAAGCATTTTAAACAGCAAAATCACCAACAAGGAACTCAAAAATGTGAAAAACATGACATTAAATCTGAAAGGGACACTTGTTTACAGTATGAGAACTGAAACAAAAGAGAGAGTATCGCTTCATTCAGTCTCATTTAGGAACAGTCAAGTCAGATGATTCACATTTTTTGCCACTCTGTGAGACATCCATGAATGACCAGGAAAGCACCATGAGTGTTGATTTGGGTTACAAATACATTTCGGAGTAGATATAATCACAGGTGAGGAATCCATAAACCCATGCTAAAACAAAAAGAGGGAAATTATCCATACACATTTTTGCATGAATCATGGGAGAATTTAGGAGTAGGGCAAAAGCTTTCATGGTACAGTTAGTTTTTTTTCAAGTGTCATAGGTACAGCATACTAAAGAAAAGTTTCTCTGCCAGGAGCAAAGGAATATTCCCTAGAATTGGGGTATATTTTCCTACAACTTAGTATTATAATAGTCCAGTCTTTTACTGCTTATTATAAGCATGCCCAATAGTTACCACCTAAAGGTATTTCACTGGAAGAAAACTGCAAAGAGTCAAGGGAGAAGTAAATGGAGGATTTTTTTTTTTAAAAAGGCAACCTTAAGCCCTGACTGGTTTGCTCAGTTGGTTGGAGGGTGGTCCTATACACCAAAAGGTTGCAGGTTCTATCCCCAGTCAGTGCACATATCTAGGTTGTGGGTTCAATCCCTGGGCAGGATGTGGATGGGAGGCAGCCAATCAATGTTTCTCTCTCACATTGATGTTTCTCTCTCTTTCCTCCTTCCCTTCCTCTCTATCTAAAAGAAAAAAACAAAAACCATAAACACATCTTCAGGTAAGGGTACATAAATAAATAACAACCTTAGTATTTTTCAAGTTTGAAACTTTTTCTTTTTGATCACGTTGGAGAAAAGACAATTTATGTAAAAATGTATTGAGACACTACCACAAAATTCAGAGAGGGCAGAAGCCTTCCTTGAAATGGTTAAATTATGTTATATGAAATGTATAGATTTCTATAAATGGTACATGGTTTGCCCTGACTGGTGTAGCTCAGTGAGTTGGGCATCATCCCACAAACCATAATGTTCCTGGTTCTATTCCTGGTCAGGACATGTCTGGGTTGCAGGCAAGATTCCTGGTTGGGAGTATATGCGAGGCAACCAATCAGTGTCTCTCTCACACATCAATGTTCTCTCCCTCTCTTTCTTCTTCCCTTCCCCTTTCTCTAAAAATAAAAATAAATAAAATTTTAAAATGGTACATGGTTTTATAAAAAGTTTAGGTGATAAAATATAAAAAAAATAAATCATACAAAGTCTGTCACCCCAAAATAACCAGTTATAATTAACATTCAGATATCACTGTATAGGAGGTTGGATGATGGTTGGATATATGGTTGAATGAATAGTTACAAGAAAAATTATAAGAATATGAATCATTCTATACACTTTTATAATATAAAAATGTACTTAAATCTCACTAAAAGTTAACAAAGAAGCTGAAGTAATAACTACCATATATTTGCCATGTATAATGCACACTCACATTTTTGTGCACATTACATGTAGGATTATTATACCCATTATTATACCCATGGTATATAATTATGCCCATGTATAATGTACATCCTTATTTTTCCCTCAAAAATATGGGCAAAAAAATGCACATTAGACAGCAAAATATGGTGATTTCAGATAAATGTCTATCCTAAGAAATACTCATTCTAAAAAGCACTAATAGAGTTAAGGACAAAAGATGAAAGTCACTAAAAGATGAAGTCATAGTCTCATTTTGCATTTCAGTTTTAAACAGTATAGACTCTATGCTAAGAAAAAATGAGATAATTAGCATTCTTATTTTTCTTCTTACCCCCTCTTCAATATTTATACCTTTGTATAGATTTTTTTGCAGTCATGATTCTCTCAGCTCTGCACTTTGTTCTATATTTAAATAGATATGATGCCCTCTACAAGTTTTTCATAGTCTTTTTATTCCTGTATTTTCTTTTTTGATTCATTTAGTTGGCTGGATTTTATCACAAAGTATTTTTTTCAAGAAAGGCTTGTCGTTATTATATTTCCTGAATTCTTTTTATGTTTGAGAATTTCTGCCTGATGTATTTTTAATTTAACAGCAATTTTTGGTGAGCATAATATTCTAAATTATAAATGATACTTTTGAGCAGGAACAACTTATAAAATCATGCTCAATGTCTTTTTAGGAAATGGACCTCATTCCAACACAGATCTTTTGTTTCTTGCTTTAACTGTCATTTTTGAAAGCTTATGACATAATTTTATATCCTTTTGTTATTAGGTTGTATGTATAGAATTTGGGGCTACTTTATATTTTGTATTTTCATTTTGTAGATAATTGTGATCCTGTTTCACCTTGCCATCTTTTTTTTTATTTCTTTTTTTTATAGTAAAGATTTTATTTATTTATTTTTAGAGAGGGAAGGGAGGGAGAAAGAGAGAGAGAGAGAAACATCAATGTGCCCTTGCTGGGGGCTGTGGCCTGCAACCCAGGTATGTGCCCTGACTGGGAATCGAACCTGTGACACTTTGGTTCACAGCCTGTGCTCAATTCCACTGAGCTATGCCAGCCAGGGCTTCACCTTGCCATCTTTATTTAGAAATTCTCATACATGTATTTACAAATTGCCTGTTATGAAACATTTTTTTAAAAACCTTTGATTTAAAGAAAATATTTTTTAGTAGCAATGAGAAAAATATTTGGTATTGTAGAAAACAAACACCATTGTTTAATGATGATTTTTTAAAATTGATTAAATTTACAAAGAGAGAGGAAGAGGGAGAGAGAAAGAAATCCATTTGTTGTTCCATTTATTTATGCATTCATTAGTTGGTTCTTTAAAAAAAATTTTTTTAAATTTATTTTTAGAGATAGGGTAAGGGAAGGAGAAATAGAGTGAGAGAAACATTGATGCCTGAGAGAAACATCAATCAGTTACCTCTTGCATGCTCCCCAACCAGAGATGGCCCCACAACCCAGGCGTGTTTCCATAATGGTTGGTTCTTGTGTATGTCTGACAGGGATTGAACCCACAACCTTGGCATATTTGGAGGATGCTCTAACCAACTGAGCTACCTGACCAGGGCTTGATGATGAGATTTTATTTTTTTTATTGTTAAATGTGTTTTATCTTAGGTAGTCATGTCTTTTCAATATTATTTACAAGTTGGTTAAACATTATCTTTTACAACTACTTTAGGAGTATCTGATTTTAATCTTCGTGTTGCATTGCAAACACTTTTGAAAGAGTACTGTGAGGTGTGCAGATCTCCCAAAGAGAACAAGTTTTGTAGTTTTCTGCAGACATCTAAGGTTCGACCTCGAAAGAAAGCAAGAAAGTACCTGTATGCAGTAGGTAAGAACCTTTTAAAAAGTAATAGAAATTATCTCTATTGTAGGAATTTTAGGATCAAAACCTTTTAATATATTGTTGTTATTATACATTTCAAAATATTCAGGTGTGTAAAGTAGACACTTAATTTCCCGTACAGGCTACATATTTATAAATTGCAGCTATATAATACAATGAACACATCTAAGAGTAAAATAGCTACTCTTCTGACATCTATTATTCTGTGATCTATATCTTTGGGTTTTTAGATTATTCAATTATTGTCAATAGCTAACTAAAGAAATATTACTTTAAAAATTGAAAATTTGTATTCTAGTGAAATATAAGGAAAATAAACCTCAAAAATATTAACTATTCATAGTGTCTTATATAGTTATTAGGGATGATGGAAACCAGTGGTCTCCAAAGTGTGGGTGTGCAGGATAATCCAGAGGCATATCAGATAAACATAGTAAAACCTCTTTTTATTTTAAAAAGCATTAAACCTCATCAATATTTGATATATACATATAGACAGATTGACCAGATTTTTATATATAATATAATTTATATATAAATACATTCTGTATAATTTATATATGTAATTAAATATATAATTTTATGTATGCTATGATATATAAATATGTAATTTTTGAGTGCATGGTAAACTTCTTTTAATGATGGGATGTGCAATCAAACCAGAGTTTCAACTCACTATTTTTAATTGAAATAGATACTAATAGAAGCCATAATGAAACTTTTTAACTAGACAGATAACTAGCTCCTAGATTTATGTTTTAGCTAATATTCTATTATAACCAAGACCAGGTAGTAGAATACTGTGGTTAACTCATTGCATTTAAGCCATAATCTCTCAGAACTTGGCACATTTATGAATCTATGTGTATATATGGCAGGCTCTAAAGCTTTTATTCCTTGCTGTGAAATAGGTAATACTGAATGTCTAGATGTAGAAGGCTAGATTTTTCTCCTTACTACCATTTCCATATTTAGCAATAAAGGATCTGCCATGTTCCTCTTATCCTTCCTTTGTTCAGGTGGATATACTCGATTGCAAGGGGGTCGTTGGAGTGACAGCAGAGCCCTCAGCTGTGTAGAACGTTTTGACACCTTTAGCCAGTACTGGACCACTGTGTCTTCGCTGCATCAGGCTCGATGCGGGCTGGGAGTAGCAGTTCTGGGAGGAATGGTGTACGCTATTGGAGGTAATAATGATAATGTCTTATTTTCCTTATTAGTCTCTAGCTGTAAGTTGACTGAATTCTTATATGCCTTATATATATTGCTAGGTACTATCATAGATACAGTTGTGCTTATACATAGATACAGTTGTGCTTATTAAATATTTATTGAATAAATGAGTGAAAAAAGAAAAAAGAAACATAAGATATTGAATATTTCAGACTAGAGGGATACTGTAATTTTCATAAGGCAGAATACTTAGGTTTGATTTTACTGAAAAGTTGCCCATAAAATGTGGCATCAAAATTTAGGCCAACATTTATAAAAACTTTTAAATTCTTAAAGCTGCATTACAAATTTTTTTTTAATTTTTTAAAGATTTTATTTATTTATTTTTAGAGAGGGAAGGGATGGAGAAAGAGAGAGAGAAAAACATCAATGTGCAGTTGCTGGGGGTCATGGCCTGCAACCCAGGCATGTACCCTGACTGGGAATTGAGCCTGCGACACTTTGGTTCACAGCCCGCGCTCAATCCGCTGAGCTACACCAGCCAGGGTGTACAAATTTTTAATTAAGTTATCTGGACAGTGGGATATATAAAAAACTGGTCAACTAGACGTTATGGTATATTTCTTGATTGAAATTGTGTTTTCTGAAAATATTCTGAATTATAAAATGGTTAATAAATAAAATTAAATTTGAATGTTGGAGGGAAATAATTACAGAAAGATGTAAAGAGAAGAAATGCTGACACTTAACATCAATATTTACTTCTGGATAATTTTGTTGTTATAGCAACAAATCAAGATAGTTAATCTCTAACCCTTACAGCCAATCTTTTTGTTTTGTTTCTATGAGTCAGTCTAAAACACTAAAAATTGTATGTCAAAAATGTTGTTGTTTTCTGACTATAATACTGTCAGTAGGGAATAGTTTATTTTTATCCTTTGGAAAGGACATAATTATCCCTCAAAAACTTCATTAAATCAGTAAATTTCATGGTGCATATGAAAATCCCAACAAAGACTTTAAAGTTTTAAGCCTTACAACCATAGTTCTATATAATCTTTGACTAGAACTCTAATAGTTCTTTTTATGTATATATTTTGGCAATTGTGGATAGTTTCCTTGCATGAACTCTCCTGTTTAACCTAGGGTCACAGTGTCCCATGTGATACTTGCATATATATGTATCCCCTTTCCTAAAGCCACAGAGTATTTATGGGGGCTCTTCAAAAATGCTATGACTTTTCTAGCTGTTATTAATACTACCAGCATTGCTATATTAAGATTCCTCATTATATAATTTAAAAATAATTTTTATTATCAAAGTAATTCAGGTTTGTTATAGGAAATTTTGCTAAAACCAAAGCATATTAAAAAAAAAATGCTGTAGCTAGTGTTGGCTTAGTGGATTGAGTGCCAGACTGCAAATCAAAGGGTCGTCAGTTTGATTCCCAGTCTAAGGCACATGCCTGGATTGTGGGCCAGGTCCCTGGTTGGGGACACTCGAGAGGCAACCACACATTGATGTTTCTCTCCTCTTTCTCCCTCCCTTCCCCTCTCTAAAATACATAGATAAAATCTTTTAAAAGGGAGGGAGGGAGGGAGGGAGGGGAAAAGAAAATAAAGCCCTGAACTGTGTGGCTCAGTTGGTTGGGCATCCTCCCACAAAGCAAAATGTCACTGATTCAATGCCCAGTCACAGCCCATGCTTAGGATGTGGGTTCAATCCCAGCTGGGGGCACATATGAGAGGCCACTGATTGATGTTTCTCTGTCACATCAATGTTTCTCTCCCTCTCTTCTTCTCTCCCTTGCCCTCTCTCTAAAAATAAATACATAAAAATCTTTAAAAAGTGCCCTGGCTGGTGTAGCTCAGTGGATTGAGCATGGGCTGCGAACCAAAGGGTCACTGGTTCGATTCCCAATCAGGACACATGCCTGGGTTGCAGGCCAGGTCCCCAATGGTGGGTGTTTGAGAGGCAACCACACACTGATGCTTCTCTCCCTCTCTTTCTCCTTCCCCTCCCCTCTTTCTAAAAATAAATTTACAATTTTTTTTAAATCTTTAAAAAGCAATAAAAAAAGAAAAACCACCCATATTATAATTATACCATCCAGAAATAGTCACAGTTAATAGTTTAATTTATTTCCTTCCTGATACATATCTGGGTTAATTTTCTAAATACTACTTTTAAAAATTAAGATACCATAAAATTCACCATTAGCGTATACAGTTCAGTGGTTTTTAGTATATTCACCAAGTTGTACAACCATCACCTCTAATTCCAGAACATTTTCATCACTTCAAAAAGCCATTCTTATTATTTGGGGAAAATTTTATATCTGTGTAGGGAACTGTTTACTAGTCAACTTCCCCCCAGACTCCAGCCAAGGGTCAACCTCGCAAAGGAGGCCTTTCTAAGGATAGGCAGTCTTGGGCCTGCTACATTAACTCTTTTCTACACAGTAGGAGTTTTGTATTCATTAAGAATTCTAGGCCCTTATAAAGTTGTATGTGCTGCACGTATCTTTCCTACTCTGCTGCTTCACCTTTCACACTCTTTATGGGATCTTTTGATAAACAGATGTTTTTTATTTTAATGTAGCCAACTCTATTTTTTTTTCTCTTTATGTTCAGTGTTTCTTATATGCATGTATATATTTATATATTTATTATCCTCACCCAAGGACAGTGTATTGTTTTGAGAGAGAGAGGAAAGTAGGAAGTGAGAGAGGGAGGGAAACATTGATGTGAGAAAGAAACACCAGTTGGTTGTCTCTCATATGCACCCCAACTGAGACTAAACCCTCAACTTAGGCACGTGCCCTAACTAGGAATTGAACCGTGACCTTAAGTTTATGGAACAAGGTTCCAACCAACTGAGCCACACTGGCCAGGGCTCTTGTACTTTTTTAAAGAAATCCTTCACTACTCCAAAGTCACAAAGATACATACCTTTATTGTTTTCTACAATTTTGTAGTTTTCCTGTTTACATTTATATCTGTAATCTACCTGGATTTGTGTTTTTATAAATAGTGTGACTAAGGAACCAGTTTTTTTTTATATCTATATAAACAATTATCCTAGCATGGAAAAACTTTTTTCCCCACTGCTCTGTAGTACAAACAGTCATATATCAAGTAATTACATATGTATGGATCTATTTCTAGATTTCTGTTCCATTGGTCTCTTTGTCTATCCCTATATTAATTACTAAAGTTCTATTTTAAGTCTAATAAGCTTATCTGATAAGGCAGTTTCTCAACATTATTTTGTGAGAGTACTTGGACCATTGTACTTCCCATGTCAATTTTAGAATCGGTTTGTTTTTTAAAATAATACTGTATGATTCCACTTATATGGGGTACTTAGAGTAGTCAAAATCATAAAGACAGAATATAATAGTGATTTTCAGGGGTTGGGAGGGAAAATGGGGAGTTTTTGTTTAATAGGTATAGTTTTAGTTTGATAAAACAGAAAGAGTCGTGGGATGGATGGTTGTGATGGCTGCACAACAATATGAATGTGTTAACATCACTGAACTATAAACTTAAAAATTGAGATTGTAACTTTTATATTGTGTTAAATGTAATCCAATAAAAAAGAAAGGATATCTGCCCTGGCTGGCATAACTCAGTGGATTGAACGCGGGCTGTGAACCAAAGTGTCACAGGTTCGATTCTCAGTCAGGGTACATGCCTGGGTTGCAGGCCATGACCCCCAGCAACCGCACATTGATGATTCTCTCACTCTCTCTCTATCTCCCTCCCTTCCCTCTCTAAAAATAAATAAGTAAATAAATCTAAAAAAAATGCATTTAAAAAAAAGAAAGAAAGGATATCTTAAAAATTGGGATTAGATTATATCTATAAACCAGTTTGGAGATAATCGTCTTTACATTGGCTCTTCTAATTCATAAAGGTGATACATTTCTTCACTTATTTAGATATTCCTTATTTACAATTTTATTTAAGTAGCACTGGCCAGTGTGGCTCAGTTGATTGGAGCTTCATCCCATGCACCAAAAGATTGCTGTTGATTCCCTGTCAGCGCACATACCTGGCTGCGGTTAGGTCCCAGTCAGGCATTTGCAGGAGGCAGTCAATCAAAATTTCTCTCTCTCTTTCTCTCTGTCTTTTTCCTCTCTCTCTCTCTAGAATCAGTGAATATATCCTTGGGTAAGGATTAAAAAAGAAAACAATTATTTAAATAAAGTTTATAGCCCTGACTGGTGTGGCTCAGTTGGTTGGACATCAACCGGCAAAGTGAAAGGTCACCAGTTCATTGCCAGTCAGGGTACATGCCTGGGTTGCGGTTAGGTCCCTGGTCGGGGTACATATGAGAGGCAACTAATGGGTGTTTCTCTCTTACATCATGTCTCTCTCCTCTTTCTCCATCCCTTCCTCTCTCTCTAAAAATAAATAAATAAAATATTTAACAAATAAACAAATAAAGAAAGTTTATAAATTTTAACCATAGAGGTCTTGTACAATATTTGATTAGATTTATTCCTAGGTATAGTATATTTTAAAATTCTATTTTGTGTATCATTTTTTAAAAGATTTTATTTATTTATAGAGAGAGGGGAGAGGAGGGAGAAAAAGAGGGAGAGAAACACAGATAGGCTAGAGAAACATTGATTGGTTGCCTCTCACAGAACCCCAACTGGAGACCTGGCCTGCAGCCCAGGCTTGTATCAAACTAGCAACCTTTTGCTTTGAGGGACAACGCCCAAACCACTGAGCCACACCAGTCAGGACTTAAGTGATATCTTTTTTTAAAGTTTCATTTTCTATTTGTTGCTAGATAAGGATTACATTAAAACTCAAATTTTATAAGAGTCAAAATGCAAATTATATGGATTGTTTGGTGGTAATAGATAACAGGAAAATTATGTCATTGCTTCATTAAATGGAGTTTACTAAATAATGGTGCTATGATTTCAAAATAACATATGCTGAGCAAATGAATTTAATAAATAGTATAAATCAGACATAATAGTTGAATTTCTGACAACATGGAATGCTACTGTATATTATAAATATGATGCTAGGCTATTAGCATCAGTAAACCTCCTCATATGTGTCTCTCTTATTTAACTCAGGTGAAAAAGATTCAATGATTTTTGACTGTACTGAATGCTATGATCCAGTTACTAAACAGTGGACAACTGTAGCTTCAATGAATCACCCCCGCTGTGGCTTGGGAGTATGTGTCTGTAATGGGGCTATCTATGCTTTGGGTAATTATGCTATTCACTTAAGGATATCTAATATTATTTAAATTCTATTTTTAAATTATATTTTATTGATAATTCTATTACAGTTATCCCAATTATTCCTCCTTTTCCCCCCTCCACCCAGAACCCTCCACTTCCTCAGGCAATTCCCACACCATTGTTTGTGTCTATGTCATATGTATAAGTTCTTTGGCTACTCCATTTCCTATACTGTACTTTACATCCGCATGGCTATTCTATAACTACCTATTTGTATTTTTTAAATGTTTTTCTTTCTTTCTTTTTATAGAGAGGGGAAGGGAGAAGGAAAGGGAGAGAAACATCAATGTGTGAGAGAAACATAGATTGTTTGCCTCTCACCTGCCCCCAACGGGGAACCTGGCCCCCAACCCGGGCATGTGCCCTAGCTTGGAATGTAACCAGCAACACTTCCATTTGCAGGCCAGTGCTCAATCCATGGAGCCACACCAGCAAGGGCCCTAATTGTATTTCTTAATCACCTCACCTCTTCACCCATCCCTAAAAACTCCCCTCCCATCTGGCAAATCTTCTCTGTTATCTGTGATTCTGTCTCTGTTTATTTTGTATCCTTAGTTTGTTTTTTAGATTCAATTGTTAATAGATATGTATTTATTGCTATTGCATTTTATTGTTCATGTTTGATCTTTTTCTTTTTCTTAAATAAGCTCCTTTATCATTTCATATGATAATGTTTTGGTGATGATGAACTCCTTTAGTTTTTTCCTTGTCTGGGAAGCTCTTTATCTGCCCTTCAATTCTAAATGTTAGCTTTGCTGGGTAAAGCAATCTCGGCTGTAGGTCCCTGCTTTTCAGGACTTTGAATATTTGTTGTCAATCCCTCCTAGCCTGCAATGTTTCTTTTGAAAAATAAGCTGACAGTCTTATGGGAACTCCCCTATAAGTAACTAACATCTTTTCTCTTGCTGCTTTTAAGATTCTCTCTTTATCTTTAACATGTGGCATTTTAATTATGATGTGTGTTGGAGTGAGCCTCTTTGCATCTACCTTCTGTGCCTCTCTGTGCTTCCTGGACTTGCATGTCTATTTCCTTCCCTAAATTAGGGAAGTTTTCTTTCATTACTTCTTCAGATAAATTTCCAATTTCTTGCTCTTTCTCTTCTCCTTCTGGCACCCTATGATGTCAATGTTAGGTCATTCAAAGTTATCCCAAAGACTTCTTGCACTATCCTCTTTTAGGTACTTAGGGTGTACCCTCCACGTGAGCTGAGTATGTCTTCCTCTTGTAGTTGAGCCTTGATTGCTGTTGGCAGGTCAATGGGAGGAGTTACCCAGGCCAGTCAGCTCCAAGGACTGACTGTAATCATTGCCCGCTAACCTTCATCCTCCATGGAGGATTAACTGTGCAGGGGCAGGGTGGTGGTGCTCCAATATGGTCTGTAGCTGTCCACTGGCTGTGCAGGCTCTGGGATGTCCTGGTTGTTGCAGGCCAGGTCATCCCCTACCTGCATTCTACCTGGGGCCACCCTGCATGAGCTGTAAACCAATATGAGATGGCTGCTACTTATCTGGGCTTGGAGATGCCCAGGTGAAGCCAAGCTATGAATCTAAGATGGCTAGTGCTAGCACTGGGCCTAGGGCCACTTAGCAACAGGTACAGGGGCTTGGGGCTTAATGAGGCCAGCTGTTGCTGGTTTGAGAGGATTTAGGAAGTTGTGAAGCATGAGCTAAGACCAGCCATTCATATGAAAAAGTCATGGTTAAAAGTTTGGTGAGCCTGTAAATTGGGTGGGACAAATCTCAGGGGATCTTATGGGTGGGGCAAACAATGTGAACCAGGTTGATGGAGTCTCAGATATGGCACCCACCTGCCAGCTTATGGCTCTGTGGGAGGAGGGTTCAAAAAAAGGACAACAGCCTCTGCCAGTCTTTCTTTCTGGTAGAAAGCTGTCTCCTAGCTCCCACCTTGATGTCAGACTTTTCAGTTCCTCCCTGTATGCCACTGGTGTCTTTCAAGCTGCTACCCAGGTGCTGGAGCTCAGAGGGAGTGAATCTGAGTAAGTCCATGAATAGGTTCTTTAAGGGGAACTGCTTGGGACTCTAGAAATTTCTTCTACTGACTCAATCCCTGCAGGTTTTTGCAGGCAGAAGTTATGGGGACTTATCTTCCTGACACTGGAACCCTGGGCTATGGGGTCTGGTGTGAGGCTAGGACTCCTTGCTCCCAAGATATATTTCCCAAATTTTTATCCACCATAGGTGGATATAGGACCAGCCCATTTCACGTCTCTGCCCCTCCTACCAGTCTGGATGGATGTGGTTTCTTTAATTCCATAGTTGTCAGACTTGCATTCATCTCAGTTTCTGACAGTTCTGAGTGATGGTTATTCTACATTTTAGTTGTAATTTTAATGTAGTTGTGCAAGGAGGTGAACCATGTTTACCTTTGCTGCCATCTTGACCAGAAGTCTGTTACTTAAATTCTTAATCAGATTCTGATTACTTCAGAAATTTTCCTTCACTCCCATAAAAAACTTGTATCCTTTCAGGTTTATAAATTCTTATTCTGAAAATAGTATTACGTGGGGAATATTATCAAATGTGGAACTCTTAGAGATGGAGATAAAATATATAGATGAGATGTCCAATGAAGCACTTTAGCTGATAGTTAAATTTCATTATTATTAAGCATTCTGAATATGCAGAGGTTGTTTTAAAAGATAGTTTTGTAAAAATAATGAAAGTTTTGTGAAATGCCAAATTTCCTATGCAATATGTTGAAGTGTTTGTTTTGTTTTATATTAAATCTCTTGTTGAAAAGGCAGAGGGTTAAAAAGTCTGAGTTCTACTCACAGTCAAATTGAAACTTCTCATGTGATCTTGGACAAATAACCCCTCTGTTCCATGTAATAATCATCCATAATATGAAGTTGTAAGATCAAAAGTTTCCTAAGGTTTTTTGATAATTAAGATTCTTTTATCACAGACATAAAATTTTTCTCTTTGGTTACAGGTGGATGGGTTGGAGCTGAGATAGGGAACACCATTGAACGATTTGATCCTGATGAAAATAAATGGGAAGTAGTTGGCAACATGGCTTTGTCACGCTACTACTTTGGCTGTTGCGAAATGCAAGGTGATTATTGTATAAAATATTTTCCAGAAAAAAAATATTTTTAAAAACTGAGCTTGAGGCTTCATTTACATAGAAGTATAGTTTATGTTAGTATTAAATGATTAACACTAACAATATTGAAGTTCGGTTTTTATCCTCTTATTTTTGTATTTCTGTATTGCCAAAATAATCAATTTTTTCCAAAATGAACAAAGCTAGAATTTAAATTCCAAATAGGCAAAAATACTTGACTAGCACAATAAGCATTTAAAAGTCATTCTTTATTGTTAATAATTTTCTCTCCTATGCAGGCCTTAGTAAGTGTTTCTAAGGAGGGAGAGAATATCAGAAAGAATCATCACAGTCTCTTCTTATAGGCTGCTTCAGTGTTATTTTTAAAGGATGCATTGTGATTCAGTCCACACAGAATATAATGCTATGATAGATTTGAAGTATATTGTACCAAATATTAAAGTGGTATACAGACATTATTTTAATTGTCTATTATACCTGAGAGGTAGTAAGCACTGTCAAATAAAACCTGATTCTCTGTCCAGAGTTGGAGAGCAGAGTTATATGTACCTGCAGAGTAGGAAGCAGTCTGGCCATTGTTATATGACAGCTCAGCCTGCTTTATTCCCAGCTCAAGTTCTTCCTGCTTTGTGAGTACCTTCTCAGATTTACACTAGCATTTAATGTTCAAATTACATGGTGCAGACTATATTCTATTATTTAATATTATAGTATTCTTTAGTTGTTTTATATTTATTATCTTTATCTTCCCAGCTAAAATCAGAGCTACAGAAGCATCCTGGAGGTTATCTATTTTAATGCCTTTATTTATAAGTGAGGAAGTTGAAGATTAGAAAGGCTGTGAATTGTCTTTTTTCATAGCTGGTTACTGACAAAGCTGGAGCTAGAACCCAAGTTTATTAATGTTTAGCTCACATTTCTTAAAATGCCATATAACTCCTCACTTTCAGAACATGGGAAACACACTGGGCACTCAAAAATGATGATAGATGGTCAGAGCCATTAGTTTCAGTCAAATTTAAAAAGGGATTGTGTGAATTGCATTCTATTGTACTCTCTATTTTATGTCCATCTGAACAATAGGTAGGCTGTCACCAAACACAATCATGCCATTCCCAGTTAAAGTGCGTATTTTTTAGGGGTGGGGGGAGTCCCTTTCCCTCTCCTTTTTTACCTATTCATGATAGCAGTGCATCTGGAAATTGAGATCATCAAACAGACAATAAGATGGGAAATCCTTATCTGACATTTAATAGCATCATTAGGTTCTTTGAAAATTCAATTCTACTTTAAATTCATACCCCTAATTTATAGTAAGTCCTACTTAAATATAGCATCAGCACAACAAACTGAACTTGCAACTATTACTTTGCTAATTATTATATCCTATTTTCTATAGCATCTAAACAAAAGTATTTAATTTCCAGGTTTAATTTATGTAATTGGGGGCATCAGCAATGAAGGAATAGAGCTTCGTTCTTTTGAAGTTTATGATCCACTTTCCAAGCGTTGGTCTCCACTTCCTCCAATGGGAACCAGGAGAGCATATCTTGGGGTGGCTGCACTCAATGATTGCATCTATTCTATTGGAGGATGGAATGAGACGCAAGATGCTCTTCATACTGTAGAAAAATATTCCTTTGAAGAGGTAGGTTGGATGATTTCAAATATTTAGTATCCCGTTATTCTTTTAATGTCTATAAGATCTGTAGTGATGTGCATTCTTTCATTCATGTTATTGATCATTTGTAGTTTTTTTTCTCTTTTCCTTCAAAGAACTAACTTTTGGTGTCATTAGTTTTGTTGTACTGATTGGCCACCTTCTATTTAATTCTTTTCTGTTCCTTTTCCCCCCATTTCTTCCATTTGTTTTAGGTTTAATTCGCTCTTATTTTTCTAGATTCTTAAAGTGGAAGCTTAGATTATTGATTTTCAGAACTTTCTTTTTCTGTAATGTAAACCTTTAAAGCTATAAATTGTTTCAAGCACTTTTTTAACTGCACCCCACACATTTTGGTATGTTCTTTTTAAAAAATTATTTATTTATTTATTTATTTATTTATTTATTTATTTATTTATTTATTTTAGAGAGAGGGGAAGGGAAGGAGAAAGAGAGGGAGAGAAACATCAGTGTGTGGTTGCCTCTCATGTGCCCTCTACTGGGGATGTGGGGACCCAGAGATTCATCATGGGAATCAAACTGGCAACCCTTTGGTTCACAGGCCCACGCTCACCTACTGAGCTACCCCAGCCACAGCAGTATGTTTTGTTTTAATAGCATTCATCTCAAAATAACTTCTGATTTCTCTGGCAAAGTTTTTTTTGGGGTTTTTTTTTTTTTTTGGACCAGTAAGTTGTTAGAAGTATGTGTTTTAATTTCAAAATATTTGGGGATTTTCTAGTTATCTTTGTGTTACTGATTTTTAATTTAATGTCATTGTGATCAAGAAGCATACTTTGAATGATTTCTGTTCTGGTAAATGTTTCATGTGTACCTGAAAAAATTTGTATTTTGCTGTTGTTGAGTGTAGTGTTCTATAAATGTCGGTTAAGTCAAGTTGACTAGTGTTGATCAAGTCTTCTCAACATGTCTGATTGTTTTGTAAATTAGTGAGAAAGAAGTGTTGGAACCTCCACTTGTAATTATGGATTTGTCTGTTTTTACTTCCATTCCTGTCAGGTTTTGCTTCACATTTTAAATGTCTGTATTGGGCCAGGCCAGGTGGCTCACTTGGTTAGAGTATTGCATCCTGATACACTAAGTTTTCAGGTTTGCTCCCTGTTCATAGCACATACAAGAATCTACCAGGGAAAGCATGAATGGGTGGAGCAACAAGTCAATGTTTCTCTCTCTCTTTTTCTTTCTCTCTCTGAAATCAATTTTTAAAAAATGAATTTCTGTTATGAAGTCTCTAAACATTGAAATTATGTCTTCTTAATGAATTTATCTTTTTATAATATGAAGTGTTTTTCTTTACCTCTGGTAATAATCTTTGTTCTGAAGTCTACTTTGATATTAATGCAACCATTAATATAGCCAATTTATGTTTTGATTAGTATTTTCATGGCATGTGTTTTTTCCTTCTACTTCAATTCTGTGTCTTTACATATAGTTGTAGCCTGTGTTTTTTATGCAGTTTAACAGTCCCTGACTTTCAAATGGAGTCTTTAAAATTTCTATTATATATATGTAATATAGTTGCAGATGTGGTTGGTTCTTGGACTTCTCTTTTGCTGTTTTTTTATTTGTATAATCCATTCTTTGATACCTTCCCCCCATTTTTCTGTCTTTAGATTGATTATTTTAGCATTCCATTTTATCTCTTTTCTTTTCAATTACCTCTCTCTCTTTACCTTTTTCCCTAGTGGTAGCTTTAGGGGTTACATTATGTCCATATATTTTTTTAATGTATCAAATCTAACTTCAAGTAATATCATACAACTTCACTTTCAATGTAAGAAACTTGCAAAAACATACTTTCATTTCCCACTCTCATCCTTTGTGCTGGTTTATTTCTGTATATGTTGTAAACTCCACAGTATTTTGTTACAGTTACTTAAATAGTTATATCTAAAATATTTTTAATGAGAAAGTTTTGGTAATTATGTATGTATTTACCATTTCTAGTTTTGTTTATTTTTTTGTGTAGAGCTAAGTTTGTATCATATCATTTTCTCTTAGCCTGAAGAATTTTCTTTAGTGTTTCTTTTAGTGCTGGTCTACTAGCAATGATTCTCTTAGCTTTCATTTTCTGGAACTCTATTTTTCCACCTTCACTTTTGAAGATATTTCACTGAGTAAAGAGTTATAGATTGTTATAGATTGTTTGTATTTCTCCTATTTATTTTTTAAAGATATTATTTATGTATTTTTAGAGGGAGGGGAGGGGAGGCAGAAAGAGAGGAGAGAAACATCGATTTTTGAGAGAAACATTGATGTATTGCCTCTCTTACTCCCCGCAACCAGGGAACGGGCTGCAACCCAAGCATATGCCCTAACCATGAAACTAGCAATCTTTTACTTTGCAGGAAAATGCCTACCAACGGAGCCACACGAGTCAGGGCATATTTACTACTATATTATTTATTTTTCTTTTTAAAAATTATATTTAATTAATTGCACTATAACAGTTGTTCCAATTTTTCCCCTTTTTTCCTCCTCTACCCAGAACCCTCTGCTCTCTCAGGAAATCCCCACACAATTGTTTGTGTCCACTGGTCATGTGTACAAGTTCTTTGGCTACTCCATCTCCTGTACTGTACTTTAAATCCTAATGCCTATTCTGTAACTATCTATTTGTACTTCTGAAGCCCCTCATCTCTTCACTCATTCCCCCACATCCCCCTCTCATCTGGCAACCATCAAAATGTTCTCTGTATCCATGATTCTGTCTCTATTCTTGTTTCCTTAGATTGTTTTTTAGATTCAGGTGTTGGTAGATACGTATTTATTGCCATTTTATTGTTCCTAGTCTTGATCTTTTTCCTTTTTCTAATTTTAAATAGTTATATATTTATTTTTAGAGAGAGAAGAAGGGAGAATGAGAGGGAGAAAAACATCAGTGTGTGGTTGCCTCTTGAGCACCCCCTACTGGGGACCTGGCCCCCAACCCAGTAATGTGACTTGACTGAGAATGGAACTAGCAACCCTTTTGTTCATATGTCAGCACTGAATCCACTGAGCCACACTAGCCAGGGCTTTTTCTTTTTCTTAAATAAGCCCCTTTATCATTTCATATGATAATGTTTTGGTGATGATGAACTCCTTTAGTTTTTTTCTTGTCTAGGAAGCTCTTTACCCTTCAATTCTAGATGTTAGCTTTGCTGGGTAAAGCAATCTCGGCTGTAGGTCCCTGCTTTTCAGGACTTTGAATATTTGTTGTCAATCCCTCCTAGCCTGCAATGTTTCTTTTGAAAAATAAGCTGACAGTCTTATGGGAACTCCCCTATAAGTAACTAACATCTTTTCTCTTGCTGCTTTTAAGATTCTCTCTTTATCTTTAACATGTGGCATTTTAATTATGATGTGTGTTGGAGTGAGCCTCTTTGCATCTACCTTCTGTGCCTCTCTGTGCTCCCTGGACTTGCATGTGTATTTCCTTCCCTAAATTAGGGAAGTTTTCTTTCATTACTTTTTCAGATAAATTTCCAATTTCTTGCTCTTTCTCTTCTCCTTCTGGCACCCTATGATGTCAATGTTAGGTCATTCAAAGTTATCCCAAAGACTCCTTGCACTATCCTCTTTTTTTGGATTTTTTTTTTAAATTTTATTTATTTATTTTTTAGAGAGGGAAGGGAGAGGGAAAGAGAGAGAGAGAGAGAAACATCAATGTGCGGTTGCTGGGGGCCATGGCCTGCAACTCAGGCATGTGCCCAGACTGGGAATTGAACCTGCCACACTTTGGTTTGCAGCCCGCGCTCAGTCCACTGAGCTATGCCAGTCAGGGTTTGATTTTTTTTTTTTTCTTGTTCTGATTGGTTGTTTTTTTGCTTCCTTATGTTCCATATCATTAATTTGGTTCTTGGCTTCATTCACTCTACAGTTGTTTCCCTGTATGTTGTTCTTTACTTCAATTACTGTATCCTTCATTTCTGACTGAATATTTTTTATGTTGTCAAACTCTGCATGTGCTAGATTACTTATTTCTGTTTTGTTTAGTTCTTTTCCTGGAGTTTTGATCTGTTCTTTCATTTGGGCCTTGTTTCTCTGTCTCCTCATTTGGGCAGCCTCCCTGTGTTTGTTTCTGTTTATTAGGTAGAGCTGCTATGATTCCTTGTGTTGGTAGTGTGGCCTAATGTTGTAGGTGTCCTGTAGGGTCCCATGGCACAGTCTCCCCTATCACACAAGCTCGGCACTTGAGGTGTGCCCTTCATGTCGGCTAAGTATATCCTCCTCTTGTAGTTGAGCCTTGACTGCTGTTGGTAGGTCAATGGGAGGGATTTACCCAGACAAGTCAGCTGCCAAGTACTAGCAGCAGCCAGCTGCTGACTGTGACCACTGACCACCAACCTCCTCCCTCTTTAGAGGATCCACCTAGCTGGGCAGGGTGGTGGTGCTCTGATGTAGTTCGTAGCTGTCTACTGGGTGCTCAGGTTCTAGGGTTTCCCATGTGGTGTGGGCCAAGGTCAGCTACTACCTTTGTTCTGCCCAGGACCTCCCAACATGAGCTAAAAGGCAATCTGCAGGTGGCTGATACTTGTTGTTGGGTGTTGGATTTGGAGGTTCTTAGGCAAAGCCACCCTGTGAACCTAGGCTGGCTGCTGCTAGGGCTGGGCCTGGGCCACATTGCAGGAGGTATTGGAGCTGGGGGTTCGCTGAGACTGGCTGTTGCTTGTTTAAGAGGATTTAGGAAGTTGTGAAGCATGGGCTAAGACCAGCCATTCATATGGGAAAGTCATGGTTAACAGTTTCGGTGGGGTTGGGTGGCATGGAACCTTGGGAAAACACCAGAGTGGGGCAAACAGTATGAGCCAAGTTGATGGAATCTCAGATATAGCTCCTGCCTGCTGGCTCTGGCTGTGTGGGAAGAGGATTCAGAAAAGGAGCAGTGGCCGCTGCCTGCCATTCTATTTGGGAAAAAACTGTCCCCCAGCTCTCACCCTGATGCCAGATACTTCACTTCCTCCCTGTATGCCACTGGTTCCTTT